GGGCTTTATATTTGGACTCTTGAGTGGGCGACTGGGCTCTGGCCCATTAGCACAACAGAGAAAAAGTTACTAAAGGCCCATCATATATATAGTCGTGACCAATAATGTTCCTCCACTCGCGGTGGACACATGTTAATATGTCAACCACTTATATGGCATGCATACATTGGTGATATATTTTTTTAAACATATTAACATTACTCATATGTGTATGCCACATAAGCAGTGAGTATATTAACATGTGCCCGCTGTGAGTAGGAGTACTCATATAGTGACACGCACGATCAAACAAAACCAGCTGAAAGAGCTGGTTAAATCGACTCGACTCGAATCCATAGCTTAGTCTGTCGGGCTACCACGGGGAAAACAATTTTTTGGTATGGTATTGATTTGGTGTTTCAGTCCAAGTTTCCATTTCTTTTCCTCAATTTAAATTTGCATAGTTATGTTGAACTTGTATCTGTGTGTAAAAAAATCGTGTTTTTTCTTAGAGGAATTTGCACCCTCCACTTAAATAATATGAAGATATTACATAATTACATCTCATATATAATTATTTACAAACTAACTAAATTTGTAAAATTTATTTGCATATATACCTAAAAATATGTTTTTCATATTTATAGTATTGTTACTGGATAATGGAGAAATTAATGACAGTTTATCAGGTACTAAAAACTGATTTCCTATTTAGATGGTAACTTCCATCATCTACGTCTCTCTCCTCTTCCCTCCCCTCGCTCTCTCTTCTTCACACACGGCCCTCTCTATATCTTATTCACACAAGTCCTGCCGCCACGCTCGGCTTCTCCGCCAAGTACGTCCCCTTCAACGTCGTTCTCCACCGAATCCTACTCCCTCAACGAGATCGTCTATGGAGCCATTCCCGCGGTCGTCATCTACATGTAGGCGATGCGAGAATCGTTTTATATGGAGTCGACGAGAGAGAAGATGAATATATTCCGGAGCATGATTTCCTCAATTGCCTCCGACTACGGCGTCCATTAAAGAGAGTTTCGGCTTTGTCACAGTCGGGGGGAGATGATTGGTTGGTTGCAGGGAATTTGAGTTTTGCTTTAATTTTTTTAGGGTTTTGGATTCTGTGTAGATTAGTCATTACGTTGAAATTCATAGACATTGGGTTGGAGTATATGTACAATATATGTTTGGTATATGCGATACCTTTTTGTTGTCGTTTTTTTATGTTAGTCTGGTCTATGCGATACCTTTTTTTTGTCATTTTTTATTATCCAATGGTTTATTTATGCTATAAATTTGTTTTAGTCATTTCTATCTTAAACCAAACAATATATTGTTGAACATAAAGATAAAATATACTGAACATAAACAAAAAATATACTTGTACTGCACATATAAAACTAATCTGCTGAACATAAACCAAAAATATTAAAACTACACAATTTATTTCTATGATCAAATACCAAAAATATACTGCACATATACTCCCCGACATCTTTCACCTTTTTTTTTTTTTTTTNTTTTTGTGGCGCGAATCGATTTGTACAGGAGATCCTATCGTCTTTCACTATGACCAAATTCCAAAAATATATTGCACATATACTCCCCGAACGTCTTTCATTTTTTTTTTCTTGACGTGAATCGAGAGTTCCGATCGCTTTGTTATGTGTTTTAATTTCTCGAATCGATACGTGTAAAAATGACGACTATTCTTCAAAGATCGATTTTCATATCTTTCCATTTGACATGCAAAGTCGTTACTCTTATGATTTAATTCCATATTGATGAAGTTATTTTTTTCTTCGTCGTATCAATGAAAGAACGATTGACAAAACACAAATATTTTCTCTGGTATATGTTCGGGAATGGAGAATGATCGACGACGATCACTTTTGTTTTTTTTTCTTCCGCCTATATCAATGATCTTGTTTTTTCAAATTCAAAATTTGATTCTTTCCATCATAAATCCGGAAATCGTGAGAAAAATTATGGGATAGGGTTGACAGAGAGGAGTAACTAATTTAGGCATGAATGCAAATAATACTTATTTATTAGATATAATATCCATTAAAAATTTATTAATGGTAATGTTGCAATTTATTTCAAATCGTGTAGGATATTTAAAAATTTCCCTTTTTCTTATTTTTCGGAAATTATTGGACTTTGAGATGGGCCTCCATCAAAACAAACTGAGCTAGTCATAAATATGACCCAACCAGCCCAAATAGAGCGCGTATACTCGTAACGCAGAGTAATTTTGAATTTCGTCACATTTCCCCACACAGCACCCAGCAAAAAATGGCGGGAAAGGCGGCCACCGCAGCCTCAGCCGCGGCGTCGGAGAGCAAAATCTACGGCGAATCGGATGGTTGCTGGAGAAAGGAACTCGACCAGAACCTCAAGCGGCTCCAGTCGCTGTTGTTCGGCGCGGACGCGGCTCTAGAGAAGGGGGATTTTAGCTCGGCTCAGATGCTATCTCTCGGTCTTATCGGTTTCCTCGACTCGCGCTCCCAATCCGCGGAGGACGAGGCCTTGATTCGCCCCATCCGGCGCGAAGCCGTTTCCAAGCTGAGCTTGTCTCGGCGTGCCTTGATTCCTGAGTCCGATCGGTAACAGCACACCCCTTTCATTGTTAACTGGAACTTCGATGACTATTGGATTTTGTTCTTTTAGCTATACGTGAAGAAATAAGTGATATGCTTTTGTTGCTGAGCTCGTGTAATCGAAAACCAAACAAGGATGGTAAATTACAGTATTCGTTATTTCATGATGTAGAATTGGAATTGTAATATAGTATTGGATTCAGAGATTTTCGGATTTCGCAGGTTTAAGTTCTGTTTAAGTTTCTCTATGAATTAGTTTGTCTTTGTTCTCTGTATCTGTGTGAACCATTTGGATTCCTACAAGCAGTGGATGAAAGTATGTGCAAAATGTGAAATGCAATAATGTCTGTGAACTTATTCCTTACATCCTTGCCGTTTAGCCTGGAAGTATTCGGGTCGTTTATATAGGAATACTAGTCTTATTGAATTGGCACTTGATTCATATAACCTTTTTATTAATATTTACCATATGAATGGAAATTTTGATTTATCCAATATTGGTATGAAATGCATTTATCTTTTTTCAATGACATCTGTGATTTGAATTTTTTAAAACTATAGACAAGCTTTTGTGCAAGCTAGCAAAGTTCCGAGCTGCATATTCAAAAAGAGAGGCGACATGGACATACAGAAGGTTAAGGAGTCCAAGTACTTTCGTACTCTATTTCAGAAGTCCTCTGAACAAACCACAGGTGGACCGGTAGGTTGCACCATAACATGGCATATACTCCTCATCAGACATCAGTCAAATGTTTTGTCTGCTTTTTTTTTTTTTTTTTCACCATCCTATTGTATGATATTTAAACTGGTTCCGAGTGATTGGATGCTGTCATTGAAATGTAATTTTGACCATTTTTGTCAGAGACAACTTGACAAGCAGGACAATTCAAAGACTTCAAAGACTCTCGTACAGTCAAAACTGACATCCTTGTATGGAAATGGTTCTAAAGAAAATAACAAAAGTTTCACGAAAGATAAGGTTTCGGAGGATTGTGTCGTTACTGAAAGAGGTCCCTCAAGTTGCAATGATCCCAATAATCATTCCGTGCTTACCACTTGTAAACCTGAGGAGGATGACGAGGTCCGTGTGGTTAATTTTAAAACAAGAAGGTTACATAGAAACTCTTTCAGCCCTAGAAACGAATTCACAAAATCCCCATCTATGATTGAAGAAGTTGATGTGGATGCTTCCACTAACGGGTTTGTTACTGCTAGAGCAAAACTGGTATGCACTTATTCTCAAATTATCTAACATATCACAAAAGCAACAATAACATGCTATCAGTTCAGCTCAAGTGTTTGATTATCTTCCTATGATTTATGTGTGATCACCATATGTTGGTTTATGATGACAGGAAATGGAGGCCAGACAAAAGCGAGGCTTAGCTGGGTCGCCAAGTGCATCCGTCTCACCACAAAGTGATGCAGGAACTAACAAGGGTTATGGGGCCAGATCTTATGGTTTTTCTCGTCGAGGAGTGAGAGGTAATTTTGTTCCTCCTATAAGATCCAATGGAAGTAACGTGGGCAATGTGGTTTCACGAACTGGGGGGAAGGGAGACGATGCACCAGATGATTCAACTAAAAGATGGTATATTCCACTGGACTTTGGACTTTCTTTTGTAGCTCACTTTTTTCAACATATTAAAGAATATGTTAATCTCAGTTCTCTTCTCTGCTTTCCTCTCCATGTATGCCAAAATAAGGTTTAAAGTTCTGTATGTGATGTAGTTTGGAGTTACTCTGTGGCCCTGATGGTGAGCTTCCTGAAAAGTTGAGAAATCTAGAGCCACGGCTTATTGAGCATGTCAGCAACGAGATAATGGATAGGGATCCGAATGTCCGGTGGGATGACATTGGTATGTCATTTCTATAGTGCTCCCAATATTTTAGAGAGAATTATTATCCACTAAGAGGCCTGACTTTCTTTTGTTATTTTTTGGGGTGTGTGCATATGTGAACTGTTAGCTGGACTAGAGCATGCCAAAAAATGTGTGACTGAGATGGTAATATGGCCTTTGCTGCGTCCTGACATATTCAAAGGTTGCCGTTCTCCTGGCCGTGGTCTTCTCCTTTTTGGTCCTCCTGTATGTACTAATTCACATATAAAGATGTTATTAAATAAATGTTGGATGCAATTATCTTTTCCCTTTATTTATGACTGTTCTCTTGCTGCAGGGAACTGGTAAAACAATGATAGGAAAAGCAATAGCTGGAGAGGCCAAAGCAACTTTTTTCTATATATCGGCCAGTTCTTTGACAAGTAAATGGGTATGTGTTTCTACTATGAGTTTCTGTTAGGGATCAGAAGCAACGAATTGCATCAGCGATTTTTAGTTCTGAAATTGACCTCAAATACCACTGTTGATCTTGTATTATAATTCAATTTCAAATAGAATTCTAGTGAACTGAGTTACTGATGTATGATGTATGCTTGAAGCTTATGCTCAGATTTATATACAATCATAGCAATTTCGATAGATAATAAGCATGATAGTGGAAATTCTCTCATAAACATGTCCACCATCCATATTCATACATGTCATGTTAAATTGCAGCTGCCCTAAATACAAGATCCTAATGTGTTTTTAATTTGGTTCAATCAATTTGAAATCGTGTTTGCAGATAGGTGAAGGTGAAAAGCTTGTTAGAGCTCTTTTTGGTGTAGCTAGCTGTCGCCAGCCTGCTGTGATATTCGTGGATGAAATAGACTCTCTTCTGTCTCAGGTAAAATAGGCAGTAGCTTGTTCTACCAAGTTTCTCAATTGTATACATGTCTCCCTATTTTGTTTCCACCTCTTTTACCTTAAT